CACTTGGAGCTCCTGACTTCCACCTCATCATATTCTCTGTCTGGAGCTCAAAGACCATGAATTAATGCCCATGTTAAGGGAGAGGGGAGAAAACATGGAGCCACCAAGGCCCTATCAGAAAGAAAGGTTTCATTACATTCAACCCTGGTTTTCTGATGGAGTTGAACAGTGGCTCCTTGCAGCTAACAGAGGAAAAAACGGAACATATCAAGGAGGATAGCAAAAACAACACTTAGGAAGATAAAATGTTAGGACAGGAATCTTGACCCAGGGCAGCACAAGCCTGATGAGGACCAAGAACATCGACCAGGTATCATGTTGCTACAACCCTTTTAGACCTCCAAAATCCCTGAGCCTGAATAGCAGCCCATGACATTGGCTGCCATTTGGACAAAGCTGCATACAGTATTTGTGAACATCGCAGACCTGAAAGTAGACTGCAGGCTGGCTAAACTAAATGACACTGCAGACAACCAGGGATCAATGAACCTTGGAACAGAGAACCAAAAAAATTGGGTCAACAAACAGTGCATTCACTGAAGCAGAATGGGAGATGCACAAATAGCGACAAACCATCGCAACCTGACAACAAACGATACACCCCTGGCCAGATAAACCTTCCATCAACGATCAAGAGATACCTCTGGAAGCAAACCCTATCATTCTTCATAAGACTACAAAACCCTTAAAAGTTTCAGTACCAGAAGCAAGGCATGGGAAGGGTGAATAAGACATCCGTACAATGAAAGCAGACAGACAATATGAGCAGCAGCAAAAAGCGCACCAGCAGAAACACCAGCTGCTCTAATTCCCATAACCACAATAATGAGATGGGCCAACTTAGTGACAACCACACTAACACCAAACCTTAACACAAAAAACCAACGTTAAGTGTAATGAAATGCCAATTTCTGGGTGAGCCCTAGTAGCTCTTTGAGGATTTGATAGTGTGTCATACTACTAGGTCCCCTTAGTCATGGAGTTCTATTAGCCTACTAGGGACCAGAGCCAGAACCTGGGCCCCCTTACAGAGGCACAGAGAATGGTGGCATTTATGCCATCCACAGGGAAAGGCACCCAGAAAGTCAGCAAGACAAAAACCACTGTTGGCATGAAACATGACTACAGCCTCAAGAATCACCTAAAGAACTCCCCAAACTATGAAAGCAATAACAAATTAATTAAACTAGCACCAACTTGTTCACCCCTCTTCCCCCATTCGTTTGGGGAGACAAGAGAGGCAATCTAAGGTCAGCTGGCTATTCCACCCTCAGTTCTATGATGATGCAAACCTCCCAATGACCAGGAGTATATTGCTGCTTCCTGAAACCAACTACCCACAGAGAAGGCACAAAAGGGCACTTACCAGGGAGGAGGAAGCACCACAGGTGTCAAGACTAAGTGAAGACTCTTGGCCGCAATACACAACCCAAAGCCACATGAGGGCACTGGGGTCCAAGAGACTGACAAGATTTTGGGCCGCCAGAACCCTGTTTAACCACCAAAACCCTCACCCCTTAATATCAGCCCAGGAAATATTCATGAAGACAATCAAAAGAGCAGCATATTTCCAAACAACATGGGCACAAGGATAGATGGCATGCTAACTAGACTTAATGACACTGTGAACAACCGAAGGCAAGCCTTAGAACAGGGAACCAAGGCAACAGGATCAACCCACAAAGAATCCACCGAGGAAGCAACCTGTCCTCTTAAAAAGAACGTAGTTTTTGGCCGTTTGCCCGTATGGCCTAATATGGGTGTAATTTGAAAATGAACAATAAAAAAAAATGAAAATAAATTTGGGATTTTTTTCAACGACAGTAAGTTAAGGGTCCTCTGATAGGTTAGGTGGCAGGAAATTCTCATAAAGTTTCAAAACGGTATGAAAAACGTTAATTGAAAGTTTCCTCTTCTAAGCTTGCCGAGTAAGCCGGACGACTCAAACAGAAAACGGAACAGTACATCACTTTTGTGAGTCGATTTCATTTCAAATTACGTCCAAATTTGGCCATAGCGTGCATACGAGCCAAAAGTGACGTTATTTTTAAGAGGACGGGTTGGAGGAAGAACCAGTGGCACAAAGAGCTGCCAGTGGATACAACACATGTCCAGTGGCAGCTAGACATGTGTTGTGTCCAGCTTAAAGTGCCTTATTCTTGATGTACCATCAATCACTTGTTGGGGTTCTGCCTCCCTTGGAAGCAGTCGGGTAAGATGGAGATGTTGCCTACTGTTGGTTGGGGGTAGGTACTTGGACAAGTCTGATTCTAGGGCTAATACGTTCCTGATGCAAGTTCCTTTCCTGCTTCACATCGCAACTACAGTATGAATAGCAAAAGGATGTTTCTGCTCAGGGTTTGCTCCTTTACCACCACAATGAGGGAGCAAACAATGACTCGTTTTGCTGGCATCTGGTCCCACAATGTGTGTACTTTCTGGGTTGTTTCCTGTGGCCTGCAGTGGAGCTGGTTGGTTCCTCTCCCATTTTCGAGGTCGGGCCTTGTTGGTCAGTACTACTCCCCAGCACTGTCAGATTATTCCATGTTGGTTGGGCTCTGGTTTGGTAAATGTCACCATGTTCCTTTGATGGGTCAAGGTTGTTATAAGCCCCGAGTAAGACTAAGCAAATCTACATTACTTCCTTCAGGGGTGAACAGCTTTACCCCCTGTCCAACTTTCCTCATGACCCGTTGGCCCAAATTTGTTTGCTAATACAGGCTGGAGATTGGATGGTGTCCCTGGACTTCAAGGATGCTTATTGTCATGTCCCTATACATCACTAATTCAGGACTGACTAGGTTTTGTTGTGGGGTATCAGGCTTATCACTTCAGTGTTCTACTCTTTTCTTTGACTCTGGTGCCCCTGTGAGTTTACCCAGTTAACAAAGGTCATTGTGGCCCAAGCTTCATCTCTTAGGGGTTAATGTGTTGACATATCTCAATGACTGGTTGGTGTAAGCTCCCAGACAGTCCACGTATCACCTGGCTAGGGATCTGGTTCTTTCTCAGCTCACCATGTTCAAGATCCTGGTGAACTGGAGATAGTCCCAGTTATTTCTGTCCCAGATTTGGATTTAGCTAGGCTTCATTTAGGACTTCCTGTCAGTTTCTCTATCTCTGCCCCAAGTGGCTTCGCTCTGCCTGCATCTTCATTGCATGCTGGTGTTGAACTAGCTTCAGATGGCTCACCAGTTGGTCAAGCAGTTGTGAGGGAGCCTGAAGTTTACCTGTGTTGTCTTCCTGGGCAGGGTTCAGCTCCAGGCATTGTATCTGTTTCTCCAGTTCCACCCATTTTATTGCTCTTGGGACAGGTGGGTTTGGGCCCTGCCCTCCTTTCATCACCTCTTACTTCACCGGCTTCCCATTCAGGCTTTTCAAGGTTCAGTCCTGTGGTCCCAACTTTCCCCATTGCTTGATGTGTTCATGGACACCTCATCTCTGGGTTGGGGTTTTATGACCATCACTCGCCAGGCCACCCAGGGTAAATAGTTGAGACCCATTCCTTTGGGCGTACAGCATGTTGCACGAGTTTGTAGTAGTGTGTTCTCATCAGAACTGCTCAGTGGTTCAACCACTGCATAAAGATGTAGATAGTTATATATAACTTGTGTATAGAGTGAGTAATAAAAGCAAAAACTGTATTTCAGGTTATCCAAAGAATATAATATTATGCATATATTAGTGACAACGATATTTTTGTGTATGTCAATGTTCTGTAAAATTTATTTAAATTATTTCTCAAATAAAAACACTATTGCATAACTGAAACAGTAGTTATATTAAAAAAAAAAACAGAATCACAAAGAAGTGAGTTGCACAACAATTTCCTTTAAGCAGTGCCAGGAACAGATTAACATGCAACAGATATACTTTACAGTATACTGTACAGGTTTGTATATTGTACTTAAACCCTGTTTTTGTCAATTATGTGTACATAAATCCAGTTATTCAGCACAAACACTGCTTTGTGTAAACCAGTAAGTGGACCAACGAACATAAAAACATTCAAGGTGAATAAGAGTCCTTGATTATCTTGAGTCTTAACATGATTTCGGGGTCTTATGAGTCTCGAGTCTTATGATGATTTACTGCTAGGTGAACAGGGGCATCTGGGTGACAAACTATTTGTTTCCGCCTCCGCCGGGGATCAAACCCGGAACCTCAGAACTATTAATCCCAAGCACTGTCCAATCAGCCGTCAGGCCCTCTGATCCTGTTCTCCTGCAACACTCATCACACTCCTGTTGTGTCAATGACCCGGCTTCCTCTAAGCTCATGAAGCCAGAAGTCGCAGATACTGTACTGGTATTTGTTCTGAATTTTTTTTTCATGTAAAGTATCATTCAATAAGAACATTTTTCTTTTTTAATAATTAATATGGGCTGAGTGAATTTTTATGATAGTCATATCAAGAGGGTTAGTAATAAACTGGTGTTGTGCATATAAAATTTATAATCAATGGAAGTAGTAATAGCTTTATTTTTTGGAATTTGCTTGGTTTAGGTCCCACAAGGTAGGTGATGAGGGATTATAAAATATTCTGGCTACAGTTCTCAGCTAAATCACATAAACCATCACCGATGTTCCCAACTGGCCCCCTCGAGCTGGTCATTTTGACAAAGTATTATTGCTGTACAGAATGGTACATAAATATTAAATATATATTTAAAGGTGTATTCAAACAACTGGGGAAGGTGGGAAGGTTAGTCATTAGCCAAGGGGGTCCTCAATAGAAATAACAGGCTCACCCAAAAAAGCCAAAAGCGAGAAATACAAGACATGCAATTTTTTGAATCTGCTAGATGGAAACTGAAATTTGTATCAAAATTTTGGTTACTGTATAGCTTTCTAGATACTAGTGAAAAGTACATTCCAAGTTCTGTGTTAATTTTTAATGAAAATGTTGATAAAATATAGTACTGTACGTAATTACTAACGAATATTAATTATATTCTTTTTAACGCACTCAGGCTAGTTGACACACGGTAGCCACTCACCTGATTTTTTACTTGGTGAGGAGCTTGGGGTAGAAATTCGTGTAAAATTCATATCCTTTCCTTTGAGGAATCTGTACTCCATTAACTGGTATATGGAAAATGCAGATTTTACAGGGCATGCTTCCCACCCTTCATTTTCCAAAAACATATGGAGCTCCTCCATTCTTGCTCTATGATGATTGCGAAAGTAATTAATGGATTGTTTCTTGATGGACTCACGAAGTGTTTCAGATTTGCTACCACAGAAAGATTCACCAACATCAATCAGTTTGTTAATGACATCTAATATTCTCAGAAAGTCATCAAATTTGAAATGAGACAGATCCGATGCTAAAATAAAAGTCCGCACTTTAGCTTGAACGTCTTGCCATATTCTGTACAGTCCGTGCTCTAATTTCTGCTTGGCATATTTCCTAGATGTAGCTACCTCAGCATCTGCCTCAGCTTCACTTGAGATGTCATCTTTGGCCACTTTCACATTGTTCTCGTGCCACTTTATGATACTTCTATAGCTTTTTAAAACATTCCACATGCACTTACTTAAATCTAAAAGACACGGAAGAAAACTCTCCTCATTTACGTACTTGCATAGATCAGAGTACTGCAGTTTGGAAAAAGATGACCCTGACCCAGTGTTACTGCCTCCACCGCTGTTGTATAGCTCCACATATCCAAGGACAATGGTAAAAGCAGAGTTATGAATGTGTGAGGTCAAATGCATATGTAACTGGTCCATTAGGGTCTGCGTCTTCCCCAGGAGACCATAGGCAATTTGAAGCTTCTCGTAATTTGCTTCATTAAAATTAGCTGCAACTCTTGCTAAAGCAACATCGAGTTGTTCCTCGGCACCTTCCAAGGTGTCCTGCAGTTTTGTGCTCAACTCTGATATACAGGTAAAGTGCTTGAATGTTGCGGCAGCTTTCTGACACTCCAGCAACAATTGTATTGCTCCTGGATAGTCCTCTGCTTTTAGCAAGCTCTGGAGTTGCACATCAGTCATCTGTAAAGTTCTTATCATTCGTAGAGATCTGATAACACTTGCAATTTTCTGTCGTTTGCTATAATTGGCAAGAATACCTAAGCTTGCAGAAGTGAACTGACTTCTACCTAGGGCTAGCTTTTTGCGGCCCTCGACACACAAGCCTACGCCTTTAATTACTTCCGTCTGTAACTCAGTCACTCTTTCCATTTCTTTACTACACTGCCCCTGCTTCTGCATGATGAGGTCAGACACCCGCCGCGACACAATCGCATGCTGCTTGCGTAGGCGTGACCTCATCCCATTAATAATATGAACATCAGCAATATCCGGAAATTTTTGCAGCTCGTGCTCACCCACATCTACATTGTCACTCTCAAAATACAACGCTTCAATACTGTCAATGACAGCCTGCTCAGCCTCTCGGGTGAGAATGTGATCATTGAGGAGACAGGCTTTTCTCTGGAGCTGAGCTGTCACCGCCGTCCGTCCCTCAAACTCGTCTGACGTTACAAATTCTGCCGCCTGCACGGGTAACGACGGCACCTTAAGTGATATCTTTTGCTTATCAATGAAAGACATAAGCTTTTCTTTGATATCCATTGTGATTTGACATGAAAAGGGTCGAACTGGGAAATATTGTGACACATCCAACGTGATCAGCTGTTTGACGTAAACAAACAATATTACTGACTTTGACTAATGCCAATAATATACATGCATTTCATCATTTATATTATTTAATTTAAAATATTATATTATTTATATGGTAATTTGCATGTGAAAATGTGTATATAGAAATATATACATATTAAAATAACTTATCTTAAATGTTCTTAATAACTAAAATAATGCTTATTTTATTCAACATTTATACGTAAGAATAAGTATTGTATAATTATTTCGTAGGCATCACTCAGTAGCAATATTATTGATAAAGAACCAACGTCCAGGAGCCCGCTGGAGGCAGCTGCTCCAAACTCCACCAATGGGGAGACACGTGGACCACCTCCACGTTCCAACAATATATCTCCGTCGTTGGAATATTAACATGAAAATGCAATACTCCTAACAATAATATACAATTTAATAAACTAACAATATTGCGCTCAATTTATAAGTAGATGAGAGTTTAAGTTCGGTGTTTTTAATACGTTAATATTCGTTTTCGTTGACTATGCGCACCCGTCGGGAAGTTAAGGGTGAGCTGTCAGTCGGTGTTGGAGCTGTGAGAGAGGAAGGTCGTTGTTGTGGTCACTCGTCGCTATGAAGGCTTTCCTCGCTCTATTGGCTCTTATGGTGGCAGCCGCTGCTGGTGAGTCTATTGAATGGCGGATTTAAGGAAAACGTTACAAATTGTATGGTATAATTTAAGTTCATTAAGCTATTTATAACAGCCCTGGAGGCCAAATATGTATTTCTAGCCGGGGAGGCATACCATGGTAGGTTGGAATATTAATTAAAGTCATGTAGGAGGCCCCATGAGCCTTGATCCATATGTCTCGGCGCCGCGTGTGCCCGAGGCCCACCTCGCTGGCACCTACCCGAGGGCCACCTCGCTGGCACCTACCCGAGGGCCACCTCGCTGGCACCTGTCCGAGGGCCACCTCGCTGGCACCTGCCCGAGGGCCACCTCGCTGGCACCTGCCCGAGGGCCACCTCGCTGGCACCTGTGTGGCCTCTCTATATGAAGCCATATTCTGATGGATTTAAGGCCCCACTTACTGAATTCAAAATAATGTAACTGATAATTATTGTCAAAGGACTATTACCACACCCGTATTTTTTCTGTATCCCGTTTTGAACATGAATTAATTATTGTATTGTCATTGTAGAGTTGTTACCTGGTTTGATCATTCAAGGCTTTGTTTTCCCTCATATGCAAAATTCATAAGTTAGGAGAAATATTTACTTTAAATACGGTAAAAATGAGGACCTTAAACATAATACAGAGTACAAAACACAATCAAATGTACCCATAGTAAGAAAACAGCATGTAAAGGATTTGGGAATAATAATGTCTGACGACCTAACGTTTAAGGAGCATAACCAAGCAAATATTGCGACAGCCAGAAAAATGATAGGATGGATTACGAGAACTTTCAAATCCAGGGATCCCATCACAATGGTTGTACTCTTCAAGTCACTTGTGTTGTCCCGTCTTGAGTACTGCTCAGTACTCACTTCCCCCTTCAGAGCAGGAGAGATTGCTGAAATAGAGGGAATACAGAGAACATATACGGCACGCATAGACGCAATAAAGCACCTAAATTATTGGGATCGTCTCAAAGCCCTCCAAATGTACTCACTAGAAAGAAGACGAGAGAGATATCAAATGATATACACCTGGAAGATACTAGAGGGCCAAGTACCAAATCTACACAGTAAAATAACAACGTACTGGAGTGAACGATTTGGAAGAAAATGTAGAATAGAACCAGTGAAGAGCAGGGGTGCCATAGGCACAGAGAACACTGTATAAACATCAGAGGTCCGCGGTTGTTCAACGTCCTCCCAGCAAGCATAAGAAATATTACCGGAACAACCGTGGACATTTTCAAGAGGAAACTAGATTTATTCCTCCAAGGAGTGCCGGACCAACCGGGCTGTGGTGGGTATGTGGGCCTGCGGGCCGCTCCAAGCAACAGCCTGGTGGACCAAACTCTCACAAGTCAAGCCTGGCCTCGGGCCGGGCTTGGGGAGTAGAACAACTCCCAGAACCCCATCAACCAGGTAAGCAGGTAAGTACTTTAATTTAAAATATTTACATTAAGTACTATATATGTACTCTTGCAAAATGCAGTAGTTTCTAAATGTCACTTTAAAATGGCTAATAATTTTCTAAATCTCTTTAATAATTCAAATTATATCATTCATAAATGTTAACTTCTCATTTAGTTTTAAGTATTACCCCATTAAACTTGTAAATATATCTCCTAGTTATGTATGTTATGCCTGAAACAGTGTGTATTAGAGGCTTTTTGCAACCATTTTTTGCCTATGAATTCTCCACTGTATCATGTATCAAATGTATGTACTTGATATAAAATAAAATAAAATATTATTATAGACTGATCATGTATCCCCCTTGCCTGCTGTCTCGAGAGAATTTAAGTTTAGTTATACTGGTACTGCAATTTGTTTTCTGGGGGACAGGCAGCCTGTGTATGTTTTCTACGTTAGGCTGGTATCGAGGTATCCTCCCCCTTCCCCAGGTCGAACTACTTGCTTTCCTCGGGATGCAACTTCAGAATAGTAGACTAATTCCCAAGTACCCAATTTCTGCTAGGTGAACAGAAGCATTAGGTGAAAGGAAACGTGCCTAACCATTTCTGACCTGCTCGGGATTTGAGCCCGGGATTCTTAATTGTGAGTTTAAAACCAAACGAAGAGTACTACCGAGACTTTGTAGTTCACCTACCCTGTCTTAACTTATCGTACATTGAATGCTTTTGAGAGGATTTGTCCATTCTCTAATATAGTGACCAAAATTTAACAGCTGAGTGAGGCTTTACCAGAGCAAAATTTTATTGAAGGATAATGTTTGTTTCTATTGCCAATGCTTCTTTATATAATTCAGAAGTATCCTACTTGCTATATTTTGTCCATACATACTCAATTACTTAGGTTTTAAATGATTCAGAATGAATGTGGGTGGATGTATTATTATACAGTATCTAGGTTTTTATATTAAACATAATCAGTATGGCTTTGGTTACCAAAATTACAGTACAGTATTAAATATTACCTCGACTGCAAATTTTTCAGGCGAAACCTGCACAGGAGCGCAGGTAGAAGCAGTGGGCTTTACTTCCCAGGATGCCACCATTGTAACAAAGATTGCATACATTGCTGATTTCACCCTCTCATGTTCTAATGGTGCAAAAGTGAGTTTCATCGTTGATGTCTTAGTGTGTGGGGAGGAGGGAAAGGAAGTTGTGATGTATTGGTTTCCCTAAAAATATAATTGATAGGTGCATTAAATTAATGGTAGATTGCATTTGTGTGGGTCAGATGCAGTTACTAGCCAGTCTATTCGTACTCAAAATTACTAGCTAGAGTAATCTCATATTTGTCATGTATGTATATATTATTGTCCAAGGAGTACAGTACCTTGAAAGACAAAAGCATAATTTTTCTTCAGAAATATAACAAAATTGCTGCATGCACAAATTTTGTGCACCTTTAATGTATTGGGCTACTGTAACTTTTTAGTCACTGATATTATATTTTAAGGCTAAAACCTTTGCCATTTTGACCCATGAAATGCATGCTCATTTGAAAGCAATTCTTGGATAATATATTTTGTACAGGATTGTGCAATGGCAGTATGATACTGTGTAATGTGTGTTATTTACCTGAAGATGGAACAATCTTTGATTTGTTTGCAGAACCTTAAGGAATGAAAACGCTTTCTTTAGTACCTTAGTATTTATACCCTTGATAATTCCCTCCCTCAATTCACTAATCATCAATCATCCCGCCTCCCTCTTGCTTGCTTGTCCGGATTCCTTCTTAGTTCAGTTGTATTGTTCACAATTGATTTTATTTTTGGCAACGGGGGGGGTGAGGTGGTCATCCACCTCCTTACCAAATAGTATGGTTCTAAAAGGAAGTTAATTGAAAGTAAATTATTTAATGTTTAAATTTGAGTTGCATTGGTGATATAATGAGTACATTTTGTCATCTGTAATGATTATTAAAAAAAATTATTCCATATTTAAATTTCTCGAGAGATAATTTAATTGTCTTTAATAAGCAAATTGTGTTCCTTTTTAGGATATTGCTATAATTAAAAAGTATATTGTTAAACAAAGTACTGTACTGTATTTCAGTTTTAAGTAAGAATATTTGTCTTCCAGGACATTTCTCTGTATGCTGAAACTGTTGATGGCATCGTTGGAGTTGCTCGCTCAGTTGATGGTGTCAAGTACCAAGTAAGAAGTGCTGCTTTTACTGTACTAGTACAATTCACTAAAGCCATTTTTTCAATTTGCCATTTTAGACCTCATCGTCCTTTAGTGGGATTTTTACCAGAGAATTACTACTTGTATTTACAAACATTTTGCCTATTTTTGGCCATTTATCACAAAAGGTTTGTGAGTTTACGTGATAAATTACAGAACATATCTTGATTTTGGAGGTTCCATTGTGTATGCAGTACTATTTATATATATTAAATATTTTAATATTTGTTTAAAAACATAAATTGTTCAATATTTAAACTTTTGACAATATGGATTATGCTAAATAGAAAGTATGCATGTAGTCTCAGTTCAGTTAAACATGGGTGATAAGTCTGCCATTATTTTTGTTTATACAGTGCCACACAGGATTTTACCTCTGGTTTCTAAAAAGAAAAATCCGGATTCCGTGGAAAACTTAATAAAATTAGGATCGTTGGTTCATCATGTAAAATAATCTTCATCAAATTGTATTTTTTTCTGTGGGGAGCCCCATCGGCTCCCTAAAGCTATCCGAACTGATATGTGCTATATTAGTTTGGGGTCATCAGTCACAAGTTATGCCTAGCAGGAACCACGAACTAGAACTTGGTCCCCTCAGAGAGGCACAGGGAGCAATAGCCTATGAGCACTTTATATTTAAAGTAAGTCATAACCAGTGTAAGTCACTACACCAGTCTCCATGGTGTAGTGGTAAGACACTCGCCTGGCGTTCCGCGAGCGCTTTGTCATGGCTTCGTATCCTGGTCAGGGAGGATTTACTGGGCTCAAATCCTTAACTGTAGCCTCTGTTTAACTCAACAGTAAAATGGGTACTTGGTTATAAAAACGATTCTTCGTGGCGGGGATCTTATTCCAGGGACCTGCCCGAAACGCTACGCGTACTAGTGGCTATACAAGAATGCAACAACTCTTGTATATATCTCAAAAAAAAAATAATAATAATTGCCATCAATTGGGAAAGGACCTAGAAAGGTAGGTAGGCGAATCAAAACAGACCACTGTCTGGTTACCCTTTGCAATCTACATTCCAAAAGATCAAAATAACTTCCCTAGAAAGAAACCAAACAAACAACCCCCTTATGCGACTAGCATTTCTGCTCGTTAGCATTATATGTAGGAGGGCGAGTGGCAACCGGCAACCCACCTCATCAGTTTTTGAACGATGAAAACCTGCCAGGCCGGAGAGGAGGAGTGTCGGGAAGCCTCTCGGGCTCACCTGACACCCTCCAAATAAATAAATACAAATTCTGGAAAATCTGGACTGGGACCAGAACTGTATAATCTGAATTTTCCCCTGTACTATACTATAGTTTGTCATTTTAAGGTTAGAAATTAAACATTTTTGTTTTATTTTTAATTCTTTCTCTGTGAAACTTGAATTCTTGATTTGAGAAAGTATTATCACTTGCACAGTCCACCCTAAGGTCGGTCGGTCTGGCGTTTCCCGTGAGCGTCCACCCTCACTAAAATATGTGTACTCTTTTCAGTTTTATCACTTCAATTTTCATGCTACGTCATTCATTTTGCTATCAAATTATTTCAATAGAATTCTCTAAAGAGGGATATGCATATACGGTAAAAAAAAAAAAAAAAAAAAAAAGCTCGCTACCCACGGCAAACCAGAAAATCTGCCGAGCATTGCCCCGTGAGTGAGCCCCTGTCCGCTCACCTACAACACCTGTACCAAAATGTGTGTACTCCTTTTTTTTTTTTTTTTTAGTTTTCACACCTCAATTTTCATGCTACGTTGTTCATATTGGTATTATCAAATTGTTCGCAATAGAATTCTCTAAAGGGGTATGTGCATAGAAGTTCAAAAAGCCCAGCGTGCCACCTACAACAAACCCGAAAATCGTCCAAGCGTTAACCGTGAACGTGCAACCGCACCAAAATGTGTGTACTCTACTTTTCAGTTTTCTCATCTCAATTTTCATGCTACTTCATTCATTTTTGTATCAAATTGTTCATAATCTAAAGGTGTGCATTTTAAAACTAGTCCTGTAATGATCAGGGAAAAAATGGAATTTTAACAAATATTTACATTTTGGACGCAACATGCGCCCCCGCCAGACATCCGTAGAGTTATTTATGGACGCAATATCCATCCCTGCCCACCAAAAGTATTAAATAGATAAATATGAAAGGCAAGTTTTACCAAATGCATCAAAATGATAATTTCACCATCCTGTAAAGTTGATTAACACTTTGGCGTACCCCGAGCACCACCCCTCAACTGTGCGATATGGGACCCAGGGTGTCACGGGTGCGCGCGTAAATTCTGAAAAGTGTATACTCTCTCCAACTTTGTCATCTTAATTCTCGTCCTACGAGATTAAATTTTGTATCATTGTGTTCGCAATAAAATTCTCTACAGCACTAAATGCACATAAACTCCAAAAGCCCGGCTAATTACCCGCAGCAAACGAGTTACCCAGGAGCGCACAAACGCGATAAAATGTTTTCACTATTTTCACTCTGGTAACCTCAATTTTCGTTCTAGGTCTTTCATTTTGGTCTCAATGGGTTCGCAATAGAATTCTCTAGAGGAACATTAGCATATAAAATAAAAAACCTGGTCACGCTCCAACCGCCGACGAGTTGAAGACGGGCCACGCGTTAGCCACAAGTGAGTGCTCAGACGCCTTCCAGCTACACTCCCAATTCCCGCCCTTTTCAAGCCTTTCTTTCGCAATTTTCTTCCTGGAAGGGCCTTGTTCATGATCACTATCCATCGTGGAGTAAGCGTAGATAGTTTCTAAAGCCGCAGTAAGAAATATAGCCACGGAAAATAGCCGAAATGTTCACACGTTTGAGATGCGAGGGGAGGCGACATCGGTCACAACAGTGGAGCGAAAACAATGGGCCCACGGCGTGTGCCAAGCCGCCTGAGGGCCACGAGGCTCAACAAAGAAAATGGGAAGACATCGGCGCGCATTTTAAAACCAGTCCCAAAAAAATAGGATAAAAAACCTGATTTTTGGCGATTATTTAAAGTGGATGACGCAATGCTGCGTCATCCCCGGCATTACCGACAGTAAACGGATGACGCAATGCTGTGTCATGCCCGGGCGAAAGTGTTAAGACATCTGGCCCTCGGGACAGGAGCTAAGGGTTTGCCATTTGGCAGCTGTAGAGGAAAACTTTGTCTGAGCATCCTGATCAAGAATTGTCTAAAATTATGAATCGTAATGATTAATAGTAAATTTTTAGAGATGTGAATAGAAAATAAATAGAAAACCACTCATTATAATATAATAGTTGGGAAAAGTTGGGTAGATTTCATTTAACATTAAAGCACACAATATATTGCAATGTTCATTTTGTGTATTTGATATTTAGTGGAAATATATTTAGCCTGGTATGCAGTTTTGGGGTCATGTTTTCTCTTGTAAATTTTTGTAAATCTTGTAAATAATGGAGATATAAATATATTTTTCTTAATGACGCCACTGGAAAAAGCTGGTCATGTTCCTACTGAAGGTGTACCAAAAATATGTACAGCAGCAAAAGGGATCAATTTTTTATTTTTATTTTTATTAAATTTTATGGCCATTATAACCTTAATGGTCAACAAGATGTCTTTAGTTTTAATTCAACTTGTGTTAATTGAGGATATAACTTTTTAGGTGAGCTGGGTTGAGGATGCAGCCACTGCAGCATCTGGTGAGCGCCCCATCAAGCTCTATGATGAGCAAGGTTATGCTGCTCTCAGGAAGGTAAACTAACTTATGCAGTCACATCAAAGATGTCTTCTAACTTGTCTATTAAAACAAAGCATAATTTGTTTTCAAGAAGTGTGAATATTTGTGCACAAAATTAATAAACCATTGTGTATCATCATCAAACCATCATAAATTGTGTAGTTAAAAAATAGAAGCAACAAATGTGTTACAATGTGATATAATTAATTTATTTAAGTAGCTGATAGGAAAGCTGTACAGGTTAATCTATTTTTGACTAGTTAAAATAATCATCATAGACCTGGTACAGTGCAGTATTTAGTGGAAAGGCATCAAGAAAATAGAGGCATAATATATTTGACTTGCAGTGTGTGTTCCTCACTGAAATCCTCTGTGAATCTGGATGATATGTAGGAACCTTTGAATATTCTATAACAGATAGTGCTGCATAGCTATCCTGACAGCACTCTTTAGATAATAATTTGCATTAAAGTAGGTAAATGGTGAATTATATTTTTCTAGCCGCCTGTATAGTAAAACTGACAGCATTGTGTCATGAGTGGTCACTGGGATATAAATGGGTATTTTTGTTATAAAATACCTCAGAATTACCTCTCTAAATTACTCAAGAAATGTGGTAAAGGTAAAATAATGTAACAGGGAATAAACTTCCAAATAATTGTCTAAGGTGTGATGCACCCCTCACTATGTCCACGGGATAAAAATACACATTGGTAAAAATCTTACTTGCTAACAAAACCCCCTACAATCATAACAAATGATCTTGCCTCTTGACATTTACTTTTAAGATCCAATACTCCCGTTTTTTGATAGAAGCAAGGGTTTACACCCACAATATGCTAGGCAAGAATTAACACTGGTGAAAGAAACTAATAACCAAACATTAAATGCATGTACACCAGTACACCATCCTCTTGCAGTTCACTATCTAAATACGGAAATGCAATTAGTGAACTGTAAATTGCATCTAATATGTATAAAGTAAACATAGAAACACGGTAGCAGATACAACAAAAAATACAGAGGAAAATCATACAGGCAGAATTGATGAATCCTAACTCACAGGCAGAATTGATAAATCCTCACTTACAGGCAGCGAAGACCCAATAGAATGTGCTCGTCTCTCCAGGCAGTGTTCTGTAAAAAGCTCATACTGTAACCGCCTGTGTTTTCTAATGTATTATGCCCAAACACTTAAGAAAACATTCTATAAAATAACTAACCTTCTAGCTGCTTAGTCAACCACCAAGTTCAAATTCATAAATACAACCAGTAGTTTACATATTAAATACTTTATCATACTACCAGCAGCTCTATACAGCAGTAGCACTCGACTGCCAACATCTGTACTTTTTTTTGTAATTTCGTTGTTCTTATAAACAGACCCCCCTAGTTATAAGTGTAAAAAAAAAAGTCGCAAATATACCTTTATATTCGATAAATTCTTTATAGTCTCTTGCTCATGTACATGTCCTTCAAAATTCTGTTTACCTTTTTTAGGCTCAACGAGGGAACGAGGACACATCAACTGTACAAGCAATTGCTACCATCAATCTTTATCATCCAGTAAGTACAAGTGATTGTAACCAGCTTTTGTATGAAGCATTTTCTGGGGAAGGGGGGCAAGTGGCTTCCTGAAGCCACTTGCAGTCCTGAGATGGTTCCCATCTACCTGGTCACATAACTGGGATGTGCCTACCAGACCCCCCTCACAGATGCGCAGGGAACTGTGACATTTTGTTACTTCATCGGGGAAGGCACCCAGATAGTCATCAGAGTCAAAACTAACCTTTGCTGGGTTTAAAAAGAGGCCAAAGTCTCATCCCCCCCCCTCCCCCCCTGTTAGGCAGATTTTGAGGATTTTTCAAGGTATGGTTGAATCTCTTGAAACTAGTTTGAACTTATTCACCCCGCCTCCAATCATTTTGGGGGAAGGGGCTTGCCACATCCCAGGGTATTGAGCTGTCAGTGTTTATTGCTGATGCAGTTAGGGCCACCTAACTGCTGTAGTGGTTTCTGGGTCACCTCCCTTTCATGCAGGCTCCACTAAAGTTGCATGAACCTGGCTTGTAGATTGATTGGAGCTGCTTGTGCTTAGGGTTACCTTCCCATTAAGTTCCTTAGTACTGCCCTTCCATTGCCAGAGTTATCTTCTCTGGAGTGTTAGAAGTTGCTCCCTTACAGGTCCTCCTCACTTGTGGTGAGGAGGACCCTTGCCCAGGGTGAGCCATGGGTTTTGTGACTTGTCCTAACCCAGGTCAGGTGCGACTTTGGCTGCCAGGGTGCATTGGTGGTACGTGGGCTTACTTCATCGCACTGAGGTCAGCTTTCACAGCACTGTAATCCAGGTTGTGTCAGTTTTTAGGTCCAGAAAGCATCTTTGGTGTCTAGTTATCTTGCTTGATCCTTGCAGCTATACACCGAGATGGGAACAATCTCGGTGTGTAGCTGCAAGGAGCCACTGGGGCTCTCTCAAAAATTGACATTTCATTACATTCAACACTTTTTTTTAATTAATGCCTTTGTACCAGTACAGATTTTTCATACATACTTTTTCTATTTCAGGGTGCTTACCGAGGCCCTTGGGTCCAATCAGAGACCATGGCTATTGTTGCTGCTATCTTCATATACTATTATGCTCTCACACAAAAGACTAGGCTAATGGCTTAGGTTGTAAAAAAAATGTTATATAAATGATGTGAATAATCTTTATTTCTAGATCATGTTCTAGTAAGGATGTGTGTGAATGGGATGTATGATTTAAAGATATTTTGTACGTAAATATAAACATTGTTGTGAGATATGTTGAGATGGTAATAAATTCTCATATTAAACACTTAAAGTTTTCTTTTGATATTCCCAAGTACTGCACAAATGTGAGTGAAGCTGGTTGACACTAGGCATTTCAATTGAAGTACAGATTGGTGAGGGCAAGCTGGGAAATGTCATACTTAAGGATCTTTTGTTACCTATATCTTGCATGAATAGTGGAAATCTTCTTGATTTTGAGAGCATGCTACACACTCCAATTTCAGAAAAGTGTAGCATAGGTTCCTCGCACTTCTTTGTGGTCCTCAGGAGACAGTTTTCCATCTAGAACAGCCCCTAAATCTCTCTCTCTCTTTCTCAATGCTTTGAAAGTTTTTTCCTATAATTTCTAGATTGTGTGTGTGGCCTGTTTTCTCCTATTCCACATAACCAATATGTGACATTTATTTACATTTAAGGTGATGAGGCCGCTCCTATTTATATCCACCCAATCTCATTCATATATATATGTCTAACCTACGAATTAAACAATCAAAGGATCCTTCTTCTATTATGTTATGCGGTAATTGGTTCCACAAATCAACAGCCCTATTACCAAACAAGTATTTACCCAGGTCTTTCCTAGATCTAAACTTATCCAATTTATACTCATTGTTTCATGTTCTGTCTTGTGTTAATACTTTTAATACCCTATTAATATTCCCTTTTTGTCCATTCATCCACTTGCTCACCTCTATCATGTCATTCATAATTCTTCGCCTTTTTAGAGAATGTAATTTAACCTTTGTCAATGTTTCTTCATATGACAGGTTTCTAATTTGTGGGATTCACTTCATTATCCTACATTGGGGGCATTCTAGTGAATTTATATCCATTGTATAGTATGGCGACCAAAACTGAACTGCATAATCTAAATGGGGTCTAACCAGAGCAAGATACAGCTGAACACCACCACCAGGTGTCTTATTACTAATGCATCGATAAATAAATCCCAGTGTTCTATTAGCCTCATTACAAACATTTATATTTTGGTTTTAAATTTTTACTAATCATAACTCTCGGATCCCTTTCACAATCTCCTATTTGAAATTGAACACCTGTACCGTTTGGCTTTGTTTATCTATATACTGTATGTATATATATAACTGTATATATACACATACACACACACACACACACACACACACACACACGTTAGGCCTATATCGAGGCGACCCCAAGGTCGAGCTACTGACCCTCCCCAGGATGCAACTCCACAACAAGCTGACCAACTCCTGGGTACTTATTTACTGCTAGGTGAACAGGATTATTAGGTAATAAATGTACCCAACTATTTCAGTCCCGCCCGTAGTTCGAACTTGGAATTCCCGATTGTAAGTCGGAAACAAACCCAACTGGGGGTTAGCGGCTGCTCTTTTTGCGGTGTCTTGTGCTGGGTTTTCCTTGATGGGACCTCATAAATAAACTTGTGGAACATTATTCATTACCAGTGCTACATATCCTTCCTGGCTTTGTGCCTTCCTTTGATAATTACTTCAACCCGTCCTCACACTAGGCTGTTTATTGCAGTGGCCGTTCTACCCAGACACACTCATCCGATTTTAAATTAACATACTGTGTATTAAAAATTAGTTTGTTCTTGTATATAAATAAATATTATACATAAAAATTTTATTTATGTATAGTTAGATTAGATGTTTAGGTTCTGTTGGCGATTATTTGTGTTTGAAGTACTGTACATGGGTGAAGCATTTGTAGCAATCCATCCTCAGAGCAAGTCCATTCCATCCAGCAGTCGATTCCACAGATACATCAATTTTAACATACTGCTCATTCAAAACTACTTTTCTCAATTATATTATTATTATTATTATTATTATATATTAGCATATCGTGCACATTTAGGCACTGGTTAGGTTAGATGCTTATGTTCTGTTGCCGATTACTTGTATTTATAGCATGTATTTATAGTATTTATAGCATTTATAGACGTATTTATAGCGTCTAACAGCCTGGTTGATCAGTCCAGCAACCAGGAGGCCTGGTCGACGACCGGGCCGCGGGGACACTGAGCCCCGGAAGCACCTCAAGGTAACCTCAAGGTAGATTAACAAGCTTGGATCTTTGTATGCAAGAATAGGGGTGACTTATTCATTATTGTCTCGGTGATTCAAACACTATGGCGATTTCAACCTGTCCTTGAACCAAGTCTGTTTTATCCAGAGGTCGACCCCCAAAGATACATTCATCAATTTTAGCATTGTTCATTCAAAATGGAACTTTGCTGAAATATAAATGAATATTTTTTATGTTAGCATATTGTGCATATTTAGGCATTGGTTAGGTTAGGTGTTTTAGTTCTGTTGGCGATTATTTGTACAGGGGTACCTCGGTTTACGAATATAATCCCGTTCCTGGAGACGGTTCGTAAACCGAAGCGAATTTCCCCATAAGAAATCATGGGAAGTGAATTAATCCGTTCCTGACTCCCAAAAAATTAACTTTAAAGTAAATTTTATACTTAATTCACCCAAATTTTCTCTACAAAAGTATGTACAAGTTAATACTTTCCTTTACTGGTGACTCCTGTTGGCGTACGGAAGACGGTGAGGAGGAGAGGCGTTACTGTTTAGAAGGGGAGTTCACTTCCATTATAACATCAGGCAGTGAGGACTTCTCTGGGGTGCATTCTCTGGCACGTTTTGCCTGTATATCACTAGGACCTGCTTCTGGCTCACTGCATGATTTTCTCATTAGAAATCATTCCATTGAAGATTGTTTTCCCTTTGCAACACTTTTCTGTAGTGAGACGTCACATTGTCATTAATAAGATCAATGCAACGGCCTGCTACAGCTTTATCTGGGTGATTCTTTTCAGCAAAACTTTGCAGTTCTTCCCATACTGCACACATTTTCTTAATGAAGAAGGGATATCCTCTACTGCCTCTTCCTCCCTTGAAGATTTGTTGTACTACCTACCTAGTTCAACAACACGTATACCATTTTCATGTTCATGAATGATCTCTTGTTTTTCCTCTATGGTCATTCTCACTTGTGTTTTCTTGCCTTGAACCTTACCACTGGCTTTCTTGAGACCCATGGCGAGATATATAAAAACTTTTATGTTCAAATAGCCAAAAATCTGAAAAAAATGTAAATCTTTGCAAAGAATTCAGGAGGGATAGTCACTTGGCAGGAGGCACTGGTAAACTGAGGCGCGATCACCATGCTACCTCGTGCTAGGTCGGCCATACACATATCAACAAACTCATATCCCGAGGTAAAGTTTGTAACCAGATTCAAATTTATCAAAGAAATCGGGCTCGTAACCCAAAAAATTCATAAAGCTGGGCATTCGTAAACCGAATACCACTGTATTTGTAGTACGTAGGTTATCTTGAGGTTATCTTGAGATGATTTCGGGGCTTTTTAGTGTCCCCGCGGCCCGGTCCTCGACCAGGCCTCCACCCCCAGGAAGCAGCCCGTGACAGCTGACTAACACCCAGGTACCTATTTTACTGCTAGGTAACAGGGGCATAGGGTGAAAGAAACTCTGCCCATCGTTTCTCGCCGGCGCCTGGGATCGAACCCAGGACCACAGGATCACAAGTCCAGCGTGCTGTCCGCTCGGCCGACCGGCTCCCGGGGTTGATACGGTTGATACGTGGGAGAAGCATTTACAGCACTAGTTCGAATAAAAGTTGTCAGCGAAGCACTTGTTCTGGAAGTGTTCAGACGTCATCACTTTAGTCGTGTGTAAACCGTTTTTCATTCATGAACATGGGGTTTGGCGGATGCATGGAATAAACTTTGGGTCTTTGTTTGGAGGACCGGCTGAGCATTTACATCGTTATGGTTCAAACAAGTCGTCAGCGAAGCACTTGCTCTGAAAGTGTTCGGACGTTATGAGTTGTGAAACGTGTGTAAACCGCTTTTCATTCATAAATGGGGTTTGGGGGCTGGATTAACAAGCTTGGATCTTTGTATGCAAGGATGGGGTGATTTATTCATTATTGTTTCAGTGATTCAAACACTATGGGGATAAAAGTTTCAGTCCGTGCTCGCATACAAATATCCAATCTCGTTTATCCAGCCGCCAAACCCCCTGTTTATGAATAAAAAGTTGTTTACACAAGACTCGCAACTGATGACGTCGAACACGTCCAGAACAAGTGCTTCGCTCACGTCCTCTTCGAACTACCTACCCGCCCTCCAAACAAGACCCAAAAGTGATTCCATGCACCCACCAAACCCCTGTTTATGAATGAAAAATGGTTTACACACGACTCAAACCTGATTTCGTTCGAGAACTTCTGGAACAAATGCTTCACTGACGAATTTTGTTCAAACCACAACGCTGTAAATGCAGCCCGTCCTCCAAACAAGGATCCAAAAGTGATTCCATGCACCCGCCAAACCCCCTGTTTATGAATGAAAAGCAGTTTACACACGACTCACAACTGCTGACGTTCGAACATATCCGGAACAAGTGCTTCACTGACGAATTTTGTTCGAATCACAACGCTGTAAATGCTTCACCCACGTACTACAAATACAAATAATCGCCAACAGAACCTAAACACCTAACCTAACCTATCCTATGCCTATATATACACAATATGTTAATATATTATAATATTAATTTATACTTGAGAAAATTCTCATTTTGAATGAACAGCATGTTAAAATTTATGAATGCGTCTGTGGGGTTGACCTGAATGTAATGGACTTGAGTCGAGGACGGGCGGACAGCCACTGCTTTAGGCAGCCTAGTGTGAGGACGGGTTGAAAAGTTTATTAATAAATTAAATTATATATTATATACGTTTGAATGTATAATAAGGGTAATTAACAAAGGTGAAAGTTTTACCCTGGGTAAAATAACTTGATAACATTAACGTTATACATTAACAATGCACTGTAACTTCTTGAATTAAAATAACTTGAAGTTAACATTGTGAGATTAACCTTGCATATTAAAGTTGGTAAGTGTAACAAGGGTAAATTTAATGTATAACTTTCAGAGAGTAAGTAACAATGGGGAATTACGTTGGTGAAAGTGTTACCTTGGTTAAAATAACTGTGTAATACAGTAACATAGTATGATGTTACTGTCGGGTGGGGTGTGCGGCGGAGCCCCCCCAAACGCCAGGCCACAGAAGGCGAGGCCGGCTTGTGCAACAACCTGTCCTGATATTCAATTTCTTTCTTTATTATGCACCCAATACCCAGCCCGTGGGAGATGGTGTAAAGGCCTGATAGAGCGTCGCATTTTGACGCGTACTTTACCCAAGGCCAAATTAAAATTGTCGTATTAGAAGATGGTAGCAATTCAATTTGTCTTTATTATGCACCCCATACCCATCCCGTGAGCTGTGGTAGAAAGGGTTACAGAGGTATATAATTGGTCGGGCACTGATTTACAACTTGTTAAAAGGGAGTATAGGCGCCGTACGCTACGTCCCGGCGCCTATAGTCCGTGGACCGGGGTAATGTTACTCTCCCAAGGGAAGTAACATTACATGTGAGATGTAATGTAGCATGTGAGAGCTATACCTGCTGCATCTGCGACGCGCGCCGCCCCTGGCCTGTCCTGTCAGTGTCCTGTGAGGGAGGCTGCTCGTTGGGAAGACGGACTCCCAAACATTTGCGGTAGGATAGATCTTCTCGAATCAGCAGGACGATCTCGTTATTGTTGTTGTTATAGATTCAGCTACATGGAACAAGTTCCAAGTAGCACGGGCTATGGTGAGCCCGTAATAGACTTACCTGGCACAAGAGCGGGGCAAGTAGCACGGGCTATAGTGCGCCCGAAGTGGGCTTACCTGGCACAGAAGCGGTGCTGAATCTGGTGAGAGAATTCAACTAGATCTTCTCGAATCGTCCCCATGTTTATCTGATTTTAATGCCGTAGCACAGTAATCTGCGTGGTCGGCTAACAACCGACTTGAGCACGTTTCCTTTCACCTGGTGCCTCCATCTGTTTACCTACTAGTGAGCAGGTACACTCATACCTCATAGTCAATCCTTCCCGGCCAGGATACGAACCCCGGCCAAATCGCTCGCGAAGCGCGGGGACCGTGTCTTACCACCACCCCACGAAGACTGCATAACGTATATATAACAGTTTGGATTGATATACCCTGTAACCTCTGATATACGTACACACTAGGATGGCAGCACAATGTTTTGTAGGTAAGAGTGTTAAATTAACAGTCAAATGAAGGTGAATCCGGGACTGTGGTCTCTCCTACAAGGTCGACACGAGTCACCTGGCAAGTTGCCAGTAAAACCCACTTGAGCTGCTCCTCGCCCAGAGGCTAATATATCATTTCATAACAAATACATATCTTAACAAAATGGTTAATATACGATCGGGAAATGCATGATACCTCTCGGTATAATTGTTAACGTGGTGGAAAATCGGAGTGCGCCATTGGGTAATTGGCGGGAGTGGCGGTGACTGGCAGGAGGGTGTGAGAATGACAGGGGGCGGCCAGGCCAGTCTGTGCTCACCACCAACACTCCCACACCGCGCTCCTGCTGTTATCTGAGTGACGCTCCTGCTGTTACCTGAGTGACGCTCTTGGTGTTACCTGAGTGACGCTCTTGGTGTTACCTGAGTGACGCTCTTGGTGTTACCTGAGTGACGCTCTTGGTGTTACCTAAGTGACGCTCCTAGTGTTACCACCACCACCCGTCCCGCCAATCACTATTCATTAAGGCTTCAACGACCGATCAAGTCTGTGAAAGTAAGTACAGAAATACCAAAAACTAAGCACTCACGATCTATAGAAAATAATAATAATAGTCATATTTTATTTACGAGAAGTTACAACGGGGAGCCGGTCGGGCGAGCGGACAGCACGCTGGACTTGTGATCCTGTGGTCCTGGGTTCGATCCCAGGCGCCGGTGAGAAACAATAGGCAGAGTTTCTTTCATCCTATGCCCCTGTTACCTAGCAGTAAAATAGGTACCTGGGTGTTATATAGTCAGCTGTCACGGGCTGCTTCCTGGGGGTGGAGGCCTGGTCGAGGACCGGGCCGCGGGACACTTAAAAGTCCCGAAATCATCTCAAGATAACCTCAAAATATGGGTTGGTGAGGTTACATTAGTGATATTATTCTTGCCAAGCCACTAACACGCATAGCGTTTCGGGCAAGTCCTTAATATAGTCCAAGCAAGTCCAATCTAATAAGATGAAAAGGTACATTGTAACAAGGTTTTACATCAACAATATAAATTGACAGAGGTGATTACACTGGTAGAGATTAAGTACTTAATTATTCTTAAATACTAATATTGGGGAAGTGGGTAGTACAAGATACAGTCTTGAGTTTGAAGCACACGGTAGGAAACTATGAGGATGAAATTAGGTACTTTTTTGGTTTAATTTTTGAAAAGGGGATGGTTAGTTAGTTTAGTTCATTTATTATGCACCCCATACCCATCTTGTGGGCGGTAGTGGAAAGGGTTACAGAGGCACATAATGGGCTCAGGGTCTGAACCCCACAATTCATTTAGCTAAGCAAGTTACAATCTTGATGAGCTAGTTACAAAATTCAATACACATCGTCACATCCACAATGATCTCGAGACCGATCACAAGTACAGTTTCCAAATTAAGCAACTGACATATGTGGAGAGCTAGTGTCACAATTTATATGTTTGTCCTGCACACCGCCCCTCCCATCCAGTGGGCATTTACATTCACTTAGCCTACTATTATCAAACGAAACTATTTGGCTAAGGTTTCTGGTAGCAGATAATTTTGAATGAAATATTTACACATCTCTGGAATATTTGTTATAGAATTGTTTCTGAATTCACGTATCTATGAATTGAATTTATAGTGACAGAGTGTGCGAATAATTTTGTTGACACAGTTTACATTAGGTCAGGTCTGCATCATCAGATAATGACAATTCCCAGAGATACTTGCAACCGAGTCTAAGCCGAGCAGTAGTAACATCTAGAAGTCTGCTGATTTTATTGGATGAACCATAGCTGTGTGGCTCCTCTTGCATGATAGTATGATGATAGATGGAATTACTGGTGTCAATTTCACTTTGCCTCAGATCTACAAGATCTTGTTGAAGTTCTTGGTGTACTATTCCTCTCAGACTGCTTATTGACAATCCAAGGTTATACTCAATTTCTCCTTTAAAGGCAGATTCTTTGGCTAACTCATCAGCTCTATAGTTTCATTTATAGACCAACATGAAATGGCGTCCACATGAAATGGACTCTGTTACCATCATTAATTTTATTGCATTTGTGTCTAGCTTTAGACACGAGCATGTTACAGTTATGTCTTAAAGAGTTGAGAGCCATTAATGATGATAACGAGTCACTTACAATTAATAATGTATCAAGTTTGGAGACTTGTACACATTGCAGGGCAAGAATCAAGGCAAATAGTTCGGTCTGAAGGGTAGAGGCCCAGTTGCTCATACGGACTCCCCACTCAAAATATAAGCCATCGCCCATTGTCAGGACAACTGCACTTCCAGCTGCACCCGTGGTGCGGTGTAGGGAACCATCAGTGTATATGATTTGAGAGAAAATGTTCTGTGGACAGAGCATCAATCTACACAGTCTGCACATCCTCCCACCGACGCTGCCTACTCTGCAATGGCCCGCACACTGCACTTTCACCTGACTGTCTCCACCGGCAGGAGGAAATAAAAAAGATGATGACAACACCTAACCAACGTCCGCCTTCCCGACCTTGCCCGAGAACTCACCTGGGGAAGCTACTGCTGCCTCACCACCACTTGGTCCATCACCTCCGCAGCCCTCACTACCACCAACCAAGCCTGTAGTTACCACCAATAACACCCTCCTACCGGTACTTCTACTCCTCGCCGACAAATTGGAGGGTAAAAACGCCAACTTATACGTTCACACCATTAACCGGGTGATCACTGGAAATGAACTACCGACGGTGCCGGTACTAGGTGACCTTCCAGCTCCTCCAACTGCGGTCGGCCCGGCGTCCGACCCCTCAACAGGCCCCATAACCACGTCCGATAACAGGGACGCCACCCACACTGGCTGCCTGTGCCAACGAAGACATCACATCCGAAGACGGACCACCAAAAACTCCCACAACCAACACCAGGAAGCTCTCCAGAGCCACCACCAACGTCGAAGACGAGAACGAAGAGGACGATGATCTCATCAACAGATTATGGGTGACAAGAACTCGACCATTCTCTTGGAATAGTGCAATTATAGTTCTCATTCCAAAACCCAAAGACCCAGGAAATCCAAGACCCATTTCATTAACAAACTGTCTGGCCAAAACTGCAGAAAGAATGGCTCTTAATCGAATTAACTGGAAAGCCAATCCACTGCATCAAAATATGTTGGCATACAGAAAAGGTGTTGAAACCACAGAATGCCTTACCTCCCTCCTGGATCAAATAATTGACAAACCTGGAATCCTTATTTTTCTAGACGTAGAAAAAGCCTTCGAACTAACCAGTGTTCCAGCTACACTGTGGTGCCTGGTAGATAAGGGAATCAGAGGGCACGCTCTTGCCTTTTCCAAAGGAAGCCTGCTTAACCGAGAAGCTACAGTCAAATTCCAAGGAAAAACATCCTTCTCAAAGAGGCTGGAAAATGGGACTCCGCAGGGAGGAATACTAAGCCCCTTCCTCTTCAACTATCTCATGGAACAATTCATGAAGCTCAAATTACCAAAAATCAAACTGATTAACTTTGCAGACGACTTTGTGGTCATCATCAATGGCAAAGGCGCCAGGAACCATGCACACAAATGCCTAGATATCAACAGGGAAGCGGAACGCATAGCAGTGAAAATAAACAGCAATAAAACCAAAGCAATGGCCGTTAAAATGAGAACTTAAGACATCAGACTCACAATACAAGGACACGAAATTGAGTGGGTTACCTCCTTTCAATACCTTGGACTTATAATAGACAGCCAGTTGAAATTCATTCAAGAAATTGAATATCTTCGGCAACGTTGTAAAGCCAGAAACTCAGCTTTGCGCTCCCTGACAAGTCTTAGAGAGGGTGCTCTCTACCAGTATTCAAAATGTACTACGTTCAAGCAGTTAGGTCACTCATCGACTATGCTGCCCCTGCTCTTACATCCCTCAGTGATAACCAATGGGAGAAACTGGAAGTGTCTCAAAATGATGCCCTCAGAACAATGCTGGGAGCACCTATATGGACGCGTTGAGAGAATCTAAGAATGGAAACCAACTTACCAACATTAAAAAACAGGATCAAACAAAGAATAGCCACCATAACAGCAAAACTTGTTAGAAGCACCGCCAGACTGTCAATCAAAGATAGCATACATAGATCGCTTCACAGAAACCTTCAATATAAAACAAGTGCATGGACGGAGTAAAGCAGTATTTTAGCAGTAAAATAGGTACCTGGGTGTTAGTCAGCTGTCACGGGCTGCTTCCTGGGGGTGGAGGCCTGGTCGAGGACCGGGCCGCGGGGAGGGTTTCTTAAGGTTTCTTGAGATGATTTCGGGGCTTTAGTGTCCCCGCGGCCCGGTCCTCGACCAGGCCTCCATCCCCAGGAAGCAGCCCGTGACAGCTGACTAACACCCAGGTACCTATTTACTGCTAGGTAACAGGGGCATAGGGTGAAAGAAACTCTGCCCATTGTTTCTCGCCGGCGCCCGGGATCGAACCCGGGACCACAGGATCACAAGTCCAGTGTGCTGTCCGCTCGGCCGACCGGCTCCCTCCGAACGACACAAAAGCCCCAAAATCACCTCAAAATACCTCAAGATAACGGATAATCTGGTCAAGATTCTAGAGAAAGTGGACTTGAAATGGACCATTAAAAACAAAAGAGGAAGACTACATCAACACTTTCGGCAGCCTCCTCCATGGAAAGAATCGTGACTAAAGATAATCATTGAAGCATTTAAAAATCAGCATGTGACTCGCAGAGGCTCAGAGCAGTCATATATAACAAATGGAAACCATCTCAAGACTTACAACCACTCACATCTTCACAGATGGATCAGTTAATCAAGAAAGAGGTTCTGCTGGGGCAGCAGTTTGCACTAACAACTATAATGCTTACTGGAGCATGAACAGTGGGTGCTCAACATTGCAAACAGAATTATATGCACTGAAGGAGGCCATAAATTATACAGTTAAGAATAATTTACATGATGTCATCATTCATACCGACTCCAAATCTTCGCTCCAGCCATTGTTATCCATCCAGCACAGAGATAATATAAAACTCATCACAGAAATCCAACATATAGGAAAAGAAGCTCACAATCTAGGGCTGTCAATCACCCAAAATTGGATACTGTTATGATCCCAGGTAGCGGAAAAACGAGTCTCCCCTTTGAGAATTATTCTATCAAGCCTGACCTGACTAGGAGGTCGGAAATACAGACATGAAGATTCATATGTAAAAATAATTGGGTAAATTTTACACGGAGTTTAAGATTATGGGCAGTGAATAAGAAAACAGATAAATGACTGGTTAGGAGATGTGGATAATTTGCTGGAGGCGTGAGGCTCGCTTCTGGAGGGCTTTGACCTCACTTGACCGCCAAACATCGCAGGGGGAAGCCGCGCTCCGTTCGAGCTCCCGTCAGAAAGGAACCCCTAGTGATATATCTCCGAGAAGAGAAGTGTGCAGACGTGCCAGCTGTGGAACTGAGCTGGGAACGCTGTGGTCTCAAGTCCTGGACGGCGAGGAGTGTTTATTAAGCGCCCAAAGACATTATCGTGG